AGATATATATATATATATATATACATACATACATACATACATACATACCACATTTCTTATGCATGAAAAGGTGTATTTCATATTTTTAAATAAGAAAATGGTATTTTTGATGTGACACGAAAGATTTGGGTTGATAAAAATGTAAATGCAATGTCTAGCTGTTAGATATGTAAATAAACAGAAATTGTGGGATCTCTATTTAAATACTTCTTTTTTTTTTAGTGATTTTCATGATTCATTTATTTCTCTCGAAGAACAAGTGATCCGTAGTTTCTAAACTTTTCTGTTTTGCTTGTTAATTATCTGATGAATTCTCATCTTCAAACTAACATTTATGCAAAGCCAAATAAATACCTGCTCTGATAGCATTTCTATGTTGTTCTGCTCCAGTTTTTCAGGAGGTTCCATTCTGCTTATGTTGATGCAGTCTCCAATCCTTTTCACGTTCCTGGCAAGAAGATAACCTCAAAAGCTTTTGCATCAAGAGTCACCACCTTAGTCAAGTCTTTCGGTTCGACCGCGCCCGCCTGATTTTATAAAACAATCTATGTTCTCGTTCCAGTAACGTGTCAAAAATAGTTCCTGACTATTTACATGAGGTTATTTTAGTCCCGAAGTCTATAAAAGTGTCAAATCAGTCCCCAAATATTTTTAACACTGCTAAAGAAAATAGTAGTTTGCACGTGAAGGCAGTCTAAGTTGAGGAGTGGAAGAGAGTTGGAGGAAGTGGTTTATAAAGATTCTGAGTTTGCGAAAGAGAATGTGGAACCTAAAAGACTTGTGGAAGACCTTTCCAAAGATTTGGGAAAACCAGTTTCACCCACTACGAGGGAGTAACTATTTTAGCCCCCATTAAAAATATATAGAGACTAAATTGGACAAATTATTCCATACGGTCAGCGCATGCAAGAGTCCGATCTCGGCTGTCGGTCACAACTTTTTGGTTTTTTTTTATTATTATTTTTAGTAGGGTCCACCGAAACACAACTTTGCTGTGATCGACGACAGAGATCGGACAGCGCACTGTCCGCATGGAATAATTTTTGACTAAATTGATATTTTTATAGACTCTGAGACTAAAAAAGCTCTATATGAAGAGTCAATGGACCATTGTGACACCGTTCTCGCTCTTATTTTGTTATGAAGCTGCCTTTTTTCAGTTTGCAGAACTGTTATGTTATTATTTATTAAAAAAACATCTTTTTTCTAATGAAAACTTCAAGTTCTCTTAGCACTACTTTTTCGAGAGTTATAAATAGTAAAGCTTGCAATTTTTAAGTACAGACCGCCAGATTCCTATGTTTTCAGCTTAGGTTGGGTGGCATGAAATATTTGAGTGGCATGAATGTAAAAAAAGTAAAGTTTAGGTGTTAGATATGTAAATACACAGGAATTAGATGGTGTGCATGTGATTGCATCTCATTATTAACAAGAGATTCGGCAAAGTTGTATGATTATCTTTAAATTATTTAAAAAATTGAAAATAATATTTTATATGTTATATCAAATTATTTCTTATTATTTATCTTCAAATTACTTATTCTATCTGTCATTTTATTATAACACTAATTTAAATTAATAATATTATTATTTTTTATAATAAACAAGTTCTCTCATGAGCCGACTCGAACACGTAAATTTAAGTTTGAGCATTGACTTAATTAATTAATCAAAAAAGCTTCTCTTAATAGAAAAAAAAAGTTTATTGTCAATCCAATGTGATGTAAAATAAATGTCATTAATTTATTCGCAAAAAAAAAAAAGAAATGCTAAAATATTTTCTCAAGTAAAAAAGAGTTTTCTCTAGCCCTTATGCAATCCAAAAAATTTAATGGTATCATTTACATGTTTAGGGTTTAATTCTTATATATTTATATTGTTATAATAGGGGTGAAAATGAAACGAGCACGAATGAACGGAGCTTGTGTTTGTGTTCGGTTGGTTTGAAATTTAGTTTGTTTGAAATAAGCTCGTGTTCGAAATTATTATTGAAGTCATTGTTCGTGTTCATTTCTTAACGAACGAACCGAACACGAGCTGTTCGCGAACGACGAGTCAGTTTGACATTATTTAGTATTAAAATTTATTATATATAATTATTTATATCAATATAGGATATATATATATATATATATGAGTATAGTTTTATTTTTCCTAAATTAATAAATTTCAAATTATTTTTAGTTTATAGGTATAATTTTTTATATATAGTTATTTTAAATTATTTTATATTTCAAACAAAAACGGTTCGAATACGAACAAACGTATCACTGTTCGTGTTTGATTCGTTTAACTAACAAACGAAAAAAATTTGTTCATGTTCCTCTCGTTTACTTATCGAACGAACCGAACACGAATTTATTGACGAACCGAACACGAACTGTTCGCAAACAACAAGCTTTTTTAACAGCCTTAGTTTTGATCTAAAATTTCATGTTTATAAGAAAAACACTCGAATCATTAACACCACTTTAAAAATATCACTCCCAATAGCTTCTTAAAAGCACCTTTCTCATGTATGAGTCAAAGCACAACTGTCATAAATGTAAATATAAAATTTTTAGTAATAGATATGTAATTACATGAGATTTATGTAGTTATGTGTAAATTTTCAAAAATTTAATAATACCCTTATCCGATGATCCAATGATGTGGAGAAAGGCACATCTCACTAATGGCCACCATAGAAGAATGGTAATCTTATTGTTATATATATATATATATATATGATTTATTCAATGAGATGAATGAAATAAAATAATTTATTTGAAAATATTAAGTAATTGAATAAGAAAGATATATCAAATATTCTTTTACTTTTCTACCCTACAATATATGAAATATTCTAATCCATCTTATTTTATATCATATATCTCAAGATTTCATGATTAATGACTTTGATTTTTTAATAATTAAAAATTTTATTTTATTTTATTTTATTTAAATGTTGTGAGTTTAGGTAACATATTTATCACTTTTTTACGTGAAAGAATTAAATTGGTGCTCAATTTTTCTGAACAAAAAATTTTAAGATTAAACAAGCGTAAAAAGAGAAACTGTCAAACTAGATTGTGATGAAGTTTTTTCAATTAATCTAATAATCTGAACTTTTATCCATCACTTGTATTGTGTTTGTGGAATAGAGATATATATGACATGAATTATGATAAATATAGAGCATTAAATGACAATATGACCAATAGAGATTATCATCATATCATTACTAATGAATATTGTTGAACCACCACTGGTCGTTTGTGGAATAGAGATATATATGACCTGAATTATGATATATGTAGAGCATTACATGACAATATGACCAATACTGATTATCATCAGATCATTACTAATGAATATTGTTGAACCACCACTGGTTGTCGTTATAATATCATAAATGATGGGTGCTCTCTTATCATGATTAATGATACTTTGAGTTATCCTTGTCCTAATAGACCATTGTTGGTGATTGGCACTTAATCAACCCTAGTCTAAGAATTTTATCATGTAGTCTTGTTTTGTTCACTCAAATAAAGTTTTCTGTTGAATGGGAGAATACCTATGAGATTCAAATTGATTATTCATAATCCAAGGTCCATAAAAATTGCTCACTAGATCGAACATACCAAAAGATATGCTTTTATTAATCATTCTGTCATGGTTATCGATATTTAAACTTTGGAATCTCTTCACAATAAATTATTCATGTTATAATCTTGGAAGGTGATAACAAATTGATATTGGAAGCTTTTTCTCACAAAGCACTTGGTCTTAAGCTTGTTGTTTATAAGTATAAGAACAATCTACTTAAAATTTGAACCTTGATTGTTAATTAAAAATTTGGGGTCAATCTTATGATTCATGGACCAAGTCTTAATTATAAAGACAAGATACTTGTTTAAAGATTTATCAAATGTGTATTGACCAACAAATTTGCTAACCATCTTAGAAGTTAACATAGAGATGTTTTATCAAAGATAAAAGAGTTTTTTTTATTTATTTATTGATAAGAGGACAAGTATCTTCTTATGTCAACTTTAACTTAGATTAAGAGAAAGTCATGTAATACTCTCTCATGTTTAGTTATTTCCATGGGAAATGAAAGAAATGTTACCATACCAAAGACCCTTCTAAGCCCATTAAACTAGCTATTAACGATGAAAGCTTGTTATATGACCACTATGAGAAATTGCATTTTGTTAGTTTCACACATGATAAAATGCTCAACTTATTTTGATTAATTTTTTAACTATTTTCTTACAATTTTTTTAATGATGACTAAGCAATAAGAGTCTAGTATTAGTTTAGTTGTTGATGCTTTTTCAAATATCAAGCATGTTCTTTCAATTACAATAGAAGTTTTTATCTTATATAGAGACTCTTCACCTTTATATATAAACATCATATCATCAATTAAGACTAAATGATACTCAGTTCCCTTCAATGGCCATTAAATTACTTCAACTATTATATGAACAACACTTTTTATAATGACCTTGATTATATCACTCACCATATGTAGTCATGCCTACACTTGAAATCTACATTACAACCTTTCTTGACATCATGGCAAATGTTATAACGTCCACTTGTTCCACAACAATATCCTCAATAACTCTTATATGCAACTACCTTTGCTAGTAGTTAAAAGCTTTGTCTTTCAACCAAGAGGTCCTGGGCTGCCTTGCGATTGTGTGTTGTGGTAAAAATAAAATAAAATAAAATAAATCCTCAAGTCTTATGTGAAAAACTTCACTAACGTTACAATCATCATTCCATGAGATCATACACTAACCTTCACTTACTTTGTAATTATTGGCATGTCAAGACATAAATTGAACTCTACATTTATAGTACATTCATCGTCAAATTAAGACTTTTCATAACCAACTTTTGTACTTAATCATTAACTATAATACTAAGTTTATGGCATTCATGTGCATTATAACCATAACTAATATAAGAAATACATCATAATATTTGCTTGCAACAGTTTAATTTTCATTTTAAGGCGGTTGTTGCTAGAAAATCTATATCACAACCATCTACCAAGGCCCACTTTCTAAACTTTATTGATGTTGCATCCATCATCATGGTCAGAATTTCACCTCACCCATGCATACATGACGACATATAATTCATGATATATACTACAATCTTTGTTGACATCACTTTTTGGTGTGACGAGTGTAGAGTGTCCACCTGAATGACTCAAGATAACCTACGGTTCGCCCGTAACATCCTATAGCTTAAGACACGCATCCAAGACTTTATATTGATGTTGCATCCATCATCATGGTTAGAATTTCACCTCATTCATGCATAAATTACGACATATATTTCATGATATATACTACAATCTTTATTAGCATCACTTTTTGATGTCACGAGTGTGGAGTGTATAGTTGAACGACTCGAGATAGTCTATGCTTAAAAAACCCATCTATGACTCTCTAGAACTTGCTCGAGGCACGAAGCTAGGGTTGGCAATGATTTAGACTTACTAGGGAGAACCCGCCATCGGAGGGGCTCATTCAAGACAGGGAGACATATTTTATGCCCTTTTTGGCTTTTAGAAGTCACCATACTTTTGTATGGAGCCTCCAGTGGCTAAGGGAGGTCATGGTGTCCTCTTATGCGGGCTACGAGAAAGTTAGGGTTCAAGACGCCTTGCCAACGTCGTGGTTTAACTGTTGGCGGTGATTTTTGGGTGAATGGTCGATCAAAGAACTCTATTTTAAAGTTATGGGGCTATATTTCACTTATATGGAATCTCCCATAGTTTACGTACCGAGAAAATCCTGCATCGGGCGCTCTCAATGTAGATTAGGGTTTTCAGGGCTATATCAGCGCCTAGGTGCCCAAAATGCCTTACCTAACGTTGAAAACTGAGCCTTTGGAAGTATGACGCCAATTTCTAGGCGCCTGAAATAGGTTCTGAGTTGAACGGCTTAAAACAGTCATTTTCTCGAGAGACGGAAAAATAGGCGCC